CAGGGAGCAGCTCCTGCATTGAGTGTCTGCCCCTTGGTGGTCAGTGCACATCATCGTGACTGGCCGACCAGTTGACTGTCTGCCCATTGGTGGTCAGTGCACATCATAGCAAGCAGTTGAGCGGCCTTAGCATACCATTTGCATATTACGCTTTGATTGGTTGAATGGCTAACTGGATGACTGGACACTTAGCATACTAGGCTTTTATTATATAGAATGTGTGCATGTGCATGTGTGTGTGGTGTGAAAGGAGAGACAGAGACTCCTTGGAGATGAGTGAGCAGAGGTGGACAATCAAGAAAAGAGAAGGAGGGAAGTTCATGTGGATTTTTCAGATTTTAGTCTGAACTTTCAGTTCATTTGCCAACATCCACATAAAGCCCTAGCCATAACTGCCTTTAAAACATTTTATTAGAAAAAAACTAAGCATAAAAAAGAACAACTTTCCAGAAGAGGTAGAACATCTACCTCTTAATGTAGGTGGAAAAGATCGAATACTTTAACTGTAGCCATTGAGTGACATAAGGAAGCAAAAGGCCACTAAAGTGTTGGCCACTAAAGTGCCAAATTCAGGAAACTCTAAGTGTTTAGTCTCCTGTGGAGTTGGCCTCATACTTCGTGAGGCCTTTTAATCACTTGGATCTTGACTCTAATAAAAATGTCTACACAACTTCCACTGCTGGAGAGCTAGGAGCTGGGTTCGCTCCACTCTGAGGAAGAGCCCTGGGTGAGGGGAAGACCTTGGCTGCCATTTCATAAACAGGCTTGCTGAGAATCTCTGATGTGCTGTTTGTAGGCGCAGACTCCTTGGCTATGCTAAGAACACAGAAACTGTTTGTAAATCTACACTTATGGGTAAACCTGTCTCCTTCAGGGCAGAAGGGCACACAAGTAGGAGGCTCTGTTGCTACTCTTCAGACTCATAACAACATAAAAATATTCTTAAGCAAAGCATGAAAATCTTTGTCCTTCTCATATATGTCTTCATATTCCTTCTATGGCATCTATTTATTTTGGTACTTCCACAGAAACGGCAGCTATGAAATTACCCCAAAGTTAGAGAGTTTCTAAATTGTATCCAATTTGCAGAGGGAAAAAACAATGACAATAATGCTATTAATCAAATCAAACCCTTATATTAGTAAACAATTTCATGATGTACAAAATAAACCTGCTCATTCCTTCTCTTTGAAGACAGGAAAAAAGTTAGTATTTCCCTTTAATAAATGTAAATACTGGTACTCAGAAATTAAATGACACACCAGGAGAGCAAGGACTAGAACCAATATATTCGATCTTTATCAATTTGCTTCCCAAGGAAGCTTAGTGTTCTTAAATTTAATCCATAAGAATAATCAAAGCTAAGATTTTAAGAGATCTATCACCAAAGTAGAAAAGCATCTCATTGGTTTTGCTAATAATTCTACAAATTAAAATTAAAATAATGCACTCAATAAATTGATTCTAAATAAATATAAATACAAATTTTCAATAGTGGATAGATTATAATTTCAAATGCAGTCTCATTACTATGATGGTTCTCTAAACTGAAAAATATTTCTGAAGAAATCTAGCAAATGTTCTCCAAATTGCCATAAACTAAGCAATATAAATTAAGAAAGTTATTAAAAATAAAATAATATAAAAATTTTATTTATAGGCATGCTATTAATAATACCAAGAGATTAGAAAGTATCCAATATCATTCTAGTGGCAAATGGCTTGAAAATTTAGTGTGTAAACGTATAAAACTAAACAGATAAAAAGCTAAAAATAATTATTATTAGTCATAGGAAGCGATGTGCATATTTATATGAAGTCAATCAATAGGAAATACAAAACGAAGCATGTACAGAATGATTAAAGGGAATTACAATGCTGTACAGAGTGAGGCTTGTTTCATTACATGTATGTATGTGCAAGGATTAAGGATTTAAGAGAATATAGGAAAAGATGAATAATCATTAAAACAAAGTTTCCCTCAAAATTATATAAATGTTTAACTTAAATATGATTTAAAGTTGATGAATTCAGGCAAGAGTAAATTAAGTTTTACATTACACTGGTCTCCCCCATAGACTCAAGAGCATCAAACATGGGTGGTCTTTACAGAGAAATGAATAAACTACTATCTTCAATGTTCTGACGCTATCAATTTAAAAAAACAAATAAAACAAAACACTGACTGAGGCCTAGGGCCTGGCTCTCTCTGCTTTGTACAGGATGTCTTTCTTTCAGACATCAGTTTCCACCAATGGAATGAGAGGCAATTTGAATGCCATTGCAGGCGTTTGTTCTAAGGGCTTTGGTTCCAAGAGGGATACATGCACCCAGCTTTCCCAGTCCCCACACTTCTAATGTGGCAGCTTATTGGACTTATGAAAGTTCAGAAGAAATTAAAATGCTAACACATCCATGAGGGGCTTGAGGCCTGGGCTGACCTCTGAAATCAATATTGAACAAGGGTCTCTGAATAAATCTTAACTGAACTCTGATAAGAATTCAATTACATTTTACAGTCACCATGGATAAATCTCATTAAAGAAAAATCACGATTAAAGTTTCTGAGGAGGGAGAGAAGTCAAAAGGATGGTAAGAATTTCCATTATTTGAATTCACCCAGGTCTTCCAAGGATGTGACTGAGTACCTCCCAGACAGCGTTCCTTGTTATAAGCATTGTATAGCATCAGGCAACCAAAGCAAACAGCTGCGGCCTGAAGAATCACCAAGTTCCTACGCCTGGAATGGGGGCAGAAATCTGAGCCTGCACACTGCGGAAACCCATAATTTAGCCAGATTGGACATTTTTTTTTGTTTTATTACATACTCAGGAGAGCAAGCAAAGCATTTAAAATGCTACATCTGACAGGTTAAAACAATTTCCTAAAGCCTGCTGAATCTCACTGCACATGTAAGGTCCTCACATTCAGACTAAATAGGCCAGAAATCCTGTCAAAATTAACCTCAGAATAGCATGTATTTCACTACCATTCCTTGAGCAAGCCACGTGTGCTTTACAAAGATTGCCTCATTTCATATCCACAAACCTTTGGGGAAAATCCAGAAAGCACCCCATTATATAGATGAGGAAACTGAGGCTTAGAAAGATCAGGTAACTCTCCCAAGGAGACAAGACATTAAGTGATAGCACCAAATTCAGACACGTATTCTTTACATCATGTTATATTGTTTCCCAATATCATTTATATGATTCCTAGCTCATCAGGGATAAAGAAAAACTGAATGAGGCTTATTAAAGTAGCAAGAATCAACAAGGCAGTCCAAAAAGGGATGGAGAAAAGATACAAGAGCTACAAAATCACAGAAGCCTGTGCTCACTTAGTATAAGGACAAACAGCCATGCATAGCTGCTTCTCTAGGCTCTGCTGACGTCACCGTCAGAGCTCACTATGACTAGCATATTTCATAATGGTGGTCCTATGTGAATGTCATTGCGAATGACAGTCTGCACAATCTAATGACAAAGGCAGGGGATTTGTAATTTTCTTTTGTCAACACAGAATTCAAAGGGCGATATTTGAAATATTCTCATTTACTACAGAGGTAGGCTTTTGTTCACTGACTTCCCCTGATATGCAATTGCTCCTTGCAGATCAACAGGACCTTACTGTGTTGGTGTTTATGTTCTGGACAAACTAAAATAGTGTGACGCCTGTAAAAATAAACAAACAAACAAACAAAAAAACACGGGACTAGGAGTGCCAACAACTGAATATAGCCCTGGCTTGGACACTAATGATACAAGAAGTCACTTTATTCCTCTCTGCTTCTCTGTGTTCTCACTTCTAAAGAGAGGAGTTAGAATAATGATCTTCAAAGTTTGTTTGTTTGTTTTTTCCAGCTCCAAAATTGCGTAGCACTATAATGATGCTATATGTGTGTTTAAGTTGTCTTTGGGGAGAAAAAGGAAATAAAATTGAACCTAAAAATGCAAAACAATATTAAATCTTGTAAGATCTTTATCTCGAAGAATCTTCAGATCTTTGCTACAGACTCCAGGGCTGCAATGAGTTAGAGCCGTCAGGTTATGGGAAAGTGCCAACGAGCCAGGTTCTTCTGCAATCAACTTGAAACTTGGGGATCTGCAAAGCTATTTATAACTCGAATTGTCTTGCACCAAAAGCTTCCTTTATGTTGACATTCTTGGGCATTGAGGGCCAAACCATGGCTCTTTTGGGGGTTTGCAAAAAGCACTACTTTTTCCACTAACAAGTGTTCAGCAGACACATTAAAATCATGCAGAAGGATAACAAAGACATTTTCTTTAGGTTAAAAAACAATCTGTTCACCCATTAAATTGCTGTATCATATGATTGCTTAATGTATACATGTGAATAGCCGGGCCAAAAACTAAGATAATGTGACTACGAGTGTTTGTTAGTCACCCATCGATGTTATTAAAGTATAGTTGTCATGTTCTTCAAAAAGACAACATCAACAATTGTTAGCTCAGTCAGCATTACTATTCATGTTCCTTTAAGGTGTGCTATATTAAAGCGTTTCTCAGTGTGCATCATTGAAAACCTCTGGGTATGATAGGTAAGAAATCTTCTGGGTAGAAAAGAGGTGATTCAAAGGACCCAGGAGTTTAAAAGTGCATTGACAAGTCCAGAGGCCCTGTAATACTTCTCAACAAATACTGACAATTCAGGGTGACACCTAATAAGGAGGGTGTAATGTTGCCACTTGGGAAACTCTCTGATGCTACAAGGGATATCATGATAGCTAGTACATACAAGCTTGAAATCCACACGGTGATGATCTTCCCAGCAGACCACTAAATGAATGGCAGCCCCATCCCAACACACTTTTTCCACATGAACACATGGGAGAAATTAAGATATGCCAATTTACATGCACACATATTGTGAAGTCTGGGTGAAGTCAAGATCTGATGGCAACATTCTATCTGGAGTGACTGGCACTTTGTCAAAGAAGATATCTTTGCAAAGTACCCGAGGACCAATTCTGAACTTACAATGTAGCAGGGCTCACAGTAGGCTTTCTTCTCCATGGCGTAGAAGGGCTGCCCTCGGAGCTTGTTGTTGCAGATGATGCACGTGAAACAATCCACATGGAAGACCTGGTCCATGGCAGTGCATCCTGTCCCTTCCCCAATGACATTTTCGCCACAGCGAGCACAGCGGCCTGAAAGAGAGAAGGGATTGACTGTTAAGAACACACAGAAGAACACTTCAGTCCTGGGCTAGAAACCAACAAGGGAAAGACAGCAGCTTCGTAATGTCTGCAGCAACAGCAATGGGACCACCACTATCGCCATCACCGCCATGAGCAAGATCACCAGGACAGTCACCACTATGCCCTGTAAGGCCAGCAGGATGGGGATTTTACATCCTGCTATAAAATTGAGGAGTTGACTGTCTCAGCCAAAGAGCCCGCAGAAAATGACAGAGTGGAACTCAAGTCGAGGCCAGTGCCCCGACTCTACTCTCACATGGGAGTCTAAGGACAATGGCTCTCGGGATGGTAGGAATAGGTGGGATTGACTAGAAAAGTCTTTCTTCTCAGGGAGTCTGCCTGTCTGGTTAGACTGGGAGGGAATGGAGTCCAAAAGCAAACTTCAACTCTTTTCACAAAAGCCCTGGTTGTAAAACCTTTGCATCCAGCTCTTGGTGACAGGCAGGTCAAAAGCCAGGCCCTTTCATTTCCAGACAGCTCTGACTGCCAGAAAGTTCTTTCTCATGTTGAGCTGGAATGCTTGCTCACTCTAACGGCTACCCAGTAGTTCCAGTTCTGTCTTCAGGGGATTCAACTCTCCTCTCTTATACTTGACACTCTTTAAAATATTACACTTCAGTTAGTGTTGCCTCCAAGTCTGTTCTTGGGTTGAACATCCTTAAATCCTGCAACAGTTCTACACACTGTAGGGCTTGAGTCCCTCATGACCCAGGGTTCTGCAAATTTCCAGCATTCTTAAATGGATTCATGGGGCATCTGGACCACAGATGCACATCAGGTTTAGCTTTAAAATATTCACATTAATTCTTAAATAACAATAAAACATAATTTCAGAAAAATATTTATGTCAGCGAGAGACATTTTGCTGGTTGCAATCTGTCTCTGTATCTGGCTCCATCGTGGGAATCTTGTCAGAGGTCAGATCCACATCCAGGTTCCCATCTCATTCTTTATTTCTTCTAAGTAATTACAGGTCACTGGGGATGTCTGCAAGGATCTGCAGGCATTTATAGGTAAGCTATAGCAAATCTAGTGCTTCATATGTGTCAGGCATTTTCTAGGTGCTTTTTATATGTTAAATCCTTTCATATTCACAACAACCGATGTGATAGGGACTGTTATTATTCCCATTTTACAGATGAGGAAACTTAGTCACAAAATGGTTAACTAACTTCAAACTCAAGCAGTCTAGTTTCAGCACTTACGGTGTTAACCACTATGTAATCTTGCTTCTGCCTGGTTCTATGAATCAGGATTGAACACAGATCTGACATTATGGAGAAATTTCTCACTGAATGAAGACTGCTTTCAGCACTCTGTCACATTGGATTGACAACCATTTCACACCTAAAAATAGGAGGGCTAAATGTTTCAACTTGGGAGAAAAGAGGAGAATATATTTCTAATCCTCTCTAGTTGCATTTGGCCCTGTAAAAAATTTCTTTATATTCTGTTGCAGGATTTGAATGTCTTTACAGTATAGTCCATTATCTCCCTCCTAGAAAATAAAAAATATCAAGTGTTTGAAGAATAGTTAAACCCTTGACAACTAAGTCATCTCCACTATAATTGACATATTATAAAGTCAATATATTATTGACATTTGTCAAAAGGTGTGGCTTTATTTTCAAACTTCTGTTGAAGAGTTAACTTGTACCTGTTTTTATTATAAAAATGTATAACCTTAGAGGGGCATGTTTAACATTATGGATGTTCATTGACTTTAGTAACCAAAGCAGGTTATTTCAAATAGCACTATTTTTTTTGTGATTATTAAGAACAAAATGCTTAATTGGTTTACTAGAAAGTTCACTGAGCTATGTTTGAAAAAGATGCTAAAATTCTGAGAACTTCATGGTATTATCTGACAACATTTCATTACAGAAAACATATTGAGGATAATAGGCAATCCATAACATCTAATTTTTAAAGAGTCATCATCAGACTTAGTGCTTAAACTCTTCTTTTTCAACTGCTTGTGCGGAAAGATCACATTCATCCCAACATATACTGATTCTTTTTCTATATATATTGGAAGCCTGTTCACTAAAATTTACATTGTAATATTAATCTGAAGTAATATTTATGGTATTATCTTTATTAGTATTTTTTCCACCTTCAATGAATCATACTTAAATCACTGACCTCCTTTGGTTGATCTGAAGAAATAAAGCAATACAATAGTAAATAATGAAAAATGTAGCTTTAACATCAGCAGAAAAAATCATACTAACGACATGAAAATATTCTGGGCTGAATGGCACTGTTACTAAACATTGATTTAAAACAATTCAACAGAGGTTTTGTGGTGCATGTGATATTTTTATAATGTGATGAGTATTAAAAGAACTTATATGCATATATGCATAGCCCATGCACAAAGACAATAGTGCAGTTAAGGCCAGGGGTGGAGCAGGAGCTGGGTGGAGTAGGGCAAAGGGTGGAAAAATGGGAGACATTTGTAATACCCTCCACAATAAAAATAAATTTTAAAAAAGAGTAAGTTGGATTCCTGAGAAAATTATTTCAAATTTAACAACTTTTAAAGTAGTTAAGTGCAGGTCAACAAAATTATTTTTAATTAATTCCCTTTTAGACATCAAACTGGATTCCCTGATAATCCTTCAGGGACTACTAGTGATCTCTGGTGGAAAAAATGCATTCAATCAGATGTTATCAACTGTTGGTCATGCTGGTCTACAAGGCAGGTAGGGGTAGCAATTATGATTTAGACCACAACCGCCCAAAGGGTAATATCTGGAGTCCAAGAGTCTGGGTCTACAAGGCTGATAGAGAGTCTGAGAACCTGGGGGAGATTTCAATCACTGATTAGATGGAAAGATCAGAGCAGAGCCTTGAAGGACAGGCTGCAAAGTAAACGCTGGAATTCTCATTCTATTCAAGACATTCCCCAGGTATCTACTCTTTGCCCAGTACTATATTTGGCTTCCCTGTGACATACAACAGTGGATCAGACAATATCAGTACCTTTTACAGTCATTAGGGGACTATATAGATTCCACAATCACATGAGAAAGTGTTACATGGGAAAGTGCAGTGGAATGTGGGAGGAAAATCACATCTGAGAAGGTTCAGGAAAGTTTTAGTGGGGAAAGAAGTAATTGAGCCCAACCTTAAAGGATGGAATTTTGACAGGTGGGAATGGAAGAGAAAACTACAACACAAAAACCAAATGCTTATTGAACCCAAAAATTCTGCAGTGATTTGGTGCTGGCATAATAAGGTTTTGTCTTCTCAGCTATGAAAGCCGATGGGCCGAATTCATAAGGAACAATCTTTTCCTTTATATTTTGGAGAATATTCTTCCAGAGTGGGTCAGGCAAATATGCTGGCCCCAGACATGACCAGCTCTGCTGCCTTCGGTATTTTTCCTATTCTTGGGAGAAATCAGGGACACTAGGCTCGAGGGCAGTCAGTCTGGCACCTTTAAAATCACAAGCACAGAAAAAGAGCGAAGAACAAAAATTAAAAATAGCCCTGCACATCAACAGGACAGTAAAGGTGCCCGAATGTTCCCTTTTTACATGAAAAAAAAAACTTTAATCATGGCTTTTAGGGAGGTATTGAGAATAGAAAGAAAGTTCCTCAAGCATAGTGCATTCTTGCCCCTACAGGGGCTCATACTACACATCACTGAAAGCACACCGCACTCTTAAAGCCCTTCTTTAAGACAAACATCTCAGCACTTTCAAAGGAGGAAAACCAGGGGAATAGTACAGGAGTAGCAGGCATCAGAGCATCAAGGAATGATAATTGATTAGGGGCCAGTAGGAATCCCAGGGTCAAGTTCAAATGCAGGGCTGGTATGAGAAGCTTAGCACAGGAACTTAACAAATCCAAGCAACAGTCATACAGCTTGGGGAGAATTTTGTCAGTGAATTAAGTCACCTGAGCAACAACAACAAAAACGAGCTTGTTTATATATTATTGCTTATTATATATGTTGCTTTATGTCAACTGTGGAGATAGTCGTGAATTCTTCTCACCCATTACTCCTCCTTTTCCTCCCAACTATAGTAACCTCTGCAACCTCTCTGAAATGCTTCCTTCCCAGCACAAGCCTGCTATGTAAATTGAGCTTCATTATCTCCCTTGGGCCATTGCAATGGCTTCCTGATTACTCCCTTATCTCTGGTTTATTTCCTCTTATAAATGAAAAGGCTTTATGGAAATCTTAGTACTTGAGCTAAGTCTGGAAGGTTACAGTTTTTGAACAAGTTGTCTTGACGAATGGCATGGGTAGAGGGTGCTTTTACAAGGCAATCAACAAAGAAGCAAGGAAGGTGGAGTAATGGAATATGTTTTCATATTTAATGGTTCCCACTTTCTCTTTTCATAATATGAATTTATTTCCTTTACACTATGAAAATAAAGTGTTATTTAGAAATGTTTCTTGGGTGATCAATACACCATTAGGCCATAGACTGTCCTTTGCAATCAATGCTGGCTTTGGAGGTGGGACCAAAAATGTCCATAGCCATTTGGAGAGTTAGTGCTATGGTGATCAGGGGTGACAGACTCCCAAACTCGTATATTATTCAATATCAAAAGTAAAACAGTAAATTTAGGCAGACATCAAGCCACATCACATGTGTCTTCATGTCCTCCTTGCTTCTTGATTTATAATAGAAATTTTAGGCACAAGCAAAATTAATATTCTATCTTTAAATATTATAAAGAACTAAAACTTTAAATGCCAATTCTACAACAAATCAGCTTTCTCATTAGATACCTTCTAAAATATATTCTGAACAAAGTCCTGCTCCAAAAGTTAAATCAATAAGGTTATATCAGGCTAGGGAAATGATGGTCATGTATACCTAGAAACAAAGCCTGCCCCAATTTATTATATTATTGTCCTAAATCACGAACTCCATTAAGGTGGTTCACAAATTATCTTCCACTGAAGATACAAAAGTATAAGAGAA